AACCCTAAACCCGAAACCCTCAAGGCCTTACGCCCTCAACTGCGAAGGATGTCAGGAAGCGCTTTTGGATCGAAGACCGTCAGCGAGCCGGCCTCTACATGGGAGTTCAGACCAAGGCGTTCGGATACATGTTCCAGAAATGTTACTCGAGAGCGCAAATGTGTGCGTGTGTACGTATGTAGGCAGGTTTGCCTGCATACATGTACGTCGTTACGTGCGAGTAGAAACAAATACATATCAAATGTATCTATAACAATACACTGCATGGATGCGCACATATACGGATTGGAATGCGTTACATTACGCATTGCATGGGAAAGAGAGCAGCTGAGGGCAGGTAAAGAGCTGAGTAGATCATGTAAACAACCCAGGGCCAGTTGAAGTTGATCCCCAAGCGGGACTCAAGNNAACCTCCAAACCTCTAAACCCCTAAACCCCCAAACCCGAAACCCTAGATCCCTAATTGGACTATGTATAACAGCAGTGGCCTGCCGACGCCGTAACAACATGAGAAGTGCTCAACCTCTTACCCCAAAAACAAACCTTTCGCTAGGCTCTATGCCCAAAACCCTTTAACCCCAAACCCTCAATCTTAAGAAGGCCGTGCTTGAAATCCGCCCGCCTTCATCTTGGGGTTCGATGCTCCAGGGGGGTTCGGGGGCTGGAGGCAGCCCGGCTGGCCAAAGGCAGCAAGCACATACCTGAAACCAAGGTTTAAAGCCTTTTAGCGCTTTAGGACTGTTTTTTTCGGGATCGGAGCCGCGGCGTTTTTGGGATTCGCTCTTCAGGGTTTTCGGGTTCGGGGATTTAGGGTTTAGGGAAGGTTTAGGGTTTGGGGTTTGGGGCTTGGGGTGTAGACCTTCGGTTTTTTGGTGGAGTCGGGGGTGCAAGACTTCGGGGCTTCAGGCCCCTACAGGGCCGACAACGGGGCACGCGGAATCCGGAGAAGGTTCGGGCTGTGGTGCCCTGAACGTACGGCGAACACAGAACAGGGAGGCAAGCGAACTAGACCAACGATGCATAGTCTTTCGTTAATTTCACAACCCTGCCCAAAATAATTACAACGTTCCGGCACATCTTGTTGCGAGTACCTGGCAAACTCCAACCCCCGGACTGTGGGGGAAGGCGCGTCATCTCGCACAGGTCGTCGTGGATGGCGCCGCTGGTGAAGATGGCGATTTTCCTGAAAAGGCAGGGTTTTTGGGTTGTGCAGGGGCCGTATCTTCAGCAGATGCTGCAGGCAAACGTGGGCAAGCCAGAATGTAATGGCTCTTCAAGCCATCTCTCTACCCAAACACCCGGTGAGCCTAGTAGGCTGGAATAGACGACGACGCCACGCAGAAAACCAGAAGACCGCGCGAGGCACTCCGGGATTCTCCGAGGTTGAGGAAGCTCTACTTAAAGGCTCAGAGAAAGCCGAGTAAGACTCAAGAACAAAACATCAACTCCTCAACCCCCAACCCCAAAGCCTACAGCTTGAACCCTGAACCCTACAAGCTATAAAGGAAGAACCGAGTAAACCCAGTTTAAGCGCTTGAGGACTCTGCACCTCAGCCGAGGAGCTCGACCTTCCTCCTAAGAAGAGGAATGTGCCCAATGTCCTGAGCCGTCTCGGCTGAACTCTTAGGGTTTAGGGTTTCGGCTTTGTCCTACCTTCCGTTGTAGAAATATGGATAAGAAGCAAGTGCGACGCATTCCTGATTATGGCAACTTAAGGTAAAGTATGCTTTTTTAACTGTCCAGTATTATGATAGCCCAAAACGGTTCAAGGTTACCTAATATAGGACTGAGCTTCCTTAGCACGAGCCAAGCTTTGCGTGCCGAGTCTTCCGAAATGCTGGGCTTTGGCATCTGGGGTGCAAGCTCTACAGGTTTACTTACGGTTTAGGGTTTAGGGGTTTTGGGTTTTGAGTTTGAGGTTTAGATGAAGAGCTGCAAAACCATCAAATCCTAGACACAGACGTGACAGTCGGGGTGATGCATCAAGAAACCTTCCAAGGATATCAAAAAACAATTCGCCAGCCATCAAAAAAATTGAAACAATCAGGAAAATTAAGTTAATCATGTAAACTTACGTGTTAATTTTGAAACTTGTTTCGTTATTTTTGTCTGCCTTTTTCGTTCTTTCTTTATTCCCGATTTCATTCCTTGCTTGCTTGTTTGCTTTCTTTCATTTCTTGTTCTATCTTCACTTCTTTATTTCGTTTGTTCCTGCTTTCTTCATTTCTTGTTTTATGTCTTTCTGTAGTTCGTTCTCTGTATGTCTTTCTGTCCTTTTTGTTCCTTCTTTCTTGTTTTATGTCGTTCTGTCGGTCTTTATTTCGTTCTTGCTTCCTTTCTCTCTTTCTTACGTTCTTTCTTTCTTTATTTATCTACTTCGTTATTTCTTGATTTTTCTTTCTTCATTTAGTTATGTATTTCTGTTTTTCTGTCGTTCTTTATTTCTTTCGTTCGTTCTGTCGCTCGTTTCTTCTTTCTTTCTTTCTTTCGCTATGTCGTTCGTTGCTTCTTTCTTTATGTATTTCTTTCGTTAGTTCCTTCGTTCGTTCGTTCGTTCGCTCTCTCTGTCTGTCTGTCTGTCTGTCTCTGTCTGTCTGTCTGTCTGTCTGTCTGTCTGTCTGTCTGTCTCTGTCTGTCTCTGTCTGTCTCTCTCTGTCTCTGCCTGTCTCTGTCTGTCTCTGTTTGTCTCTGTCTGTCTCTGCCTGTCTCTGTCTGTCTCTGTTTGTCTCTGTCTGTCTCTGTCTGTCTCTGTCTGTCTGTGTGTCGCGATACTTTTTTGACACGTCGCAGTTAAGCTCGGAATCACAGAGTGGTAGAAAAAATCAGGGAAGTGGTCCGACTTTGCGAATCTAACTGCCACCACTCCTGCCAGCTCCGCAACTCAACGACCTCGAACCGAACACAAAAGCTGGGAAATCCACACCCATGCAACAGAGTAAGGGCCCAAAATGAGCGCGAATGCCTTCATCGAAATATTTGGACATTGGCTTTCGTTGCCGTCGCTAATCACGCCTTTCGGCACAAGTCAGCAAGGGGCCATTGTAATCACAAGGCAACGCCTGTACATCGACAACAAAATCTAGCAGATTCTATAGGAGAAGATGTTAACTTTGCGACTTGCCACAAGACTTGCGATTGGCACCAACCAAGCTGAAACTGCTGTCAAAGTACCACGTGGCGCCGACCAAGCCTGCCTAGCATTCAGCAATGATTCTTTGTGCCGTCCAAAACAACTGTGCGGATCTTGCCTTTGTTGCGCATAATTTTGCGTTTGCGGTCGGGTTTCCAAAAGCAAACTTCAACCATACAATGAACCCGAATGCACCAACAAAAACACTGGTTCTCCCGCATGAAATCAACGGCCTGTTCCCCTTCAAACACCCTTTCCATCAAAGTAACACAAACATACAAAACACATGGCCCGAGTGCATCTTCAAACTGGTATTTTGTATTCGGCAAGGTTGCTTTGCATTTGTCGTTAGTTCATTCAGCTACTACAGCCCTTTGGTGACCATGAAAAGTCGCCATGAAAAAACTGGCCATGCCTTATAGCCGATCTCAGCACAACTAACTAATCAGTTCAGAGCCTGCCCACAACTGGAATAAATTCCATGTTGAACTGCCAGCTGCTTGGGTGTTCGGCGGACCACACGGCATTAGCACGGCTGTTTCTTTGTTATTTATATATCTGTGTGTAGATGCACATGAATGTACAAAATCCTACATGTAAATACTGCCATCATACATACATTTTTGCATGCACACATATGTCCACTTGTACTGTGTGTGTGTGTATGTATGTATGTATGTATGTATATATATATATATATATGGGTTGCCGTCTATCCCCCCTGAATTTCCTCCAAATCAAAGAAAAATATGAAAGTCAATGTTTCGAGGTTTCAAGAGAACTACAGCGTTTGGCAAGCTGTTTTTCAGAGCCTTACTACCTCCATGTCTCCCGGTATTCACGTATGTCATGCCTGAAACAAAACTTCAGTCGTAACACAAGCTTCAACCTTGACATTGAGTAACCAGGGAGTACGTGGTGCATCGCTTCCTTCGGGAACACGTTTCTTAGAGCCCATGCAAAAGATTTCCAAAGAAGCCTCATTCGAGATAGGGGCTCTGTGACAGCGACGGGGGGAAAAATTTTTGGAACTTCATGTAAATTCATGTGAACGCAAGTGAATTCATGTGATCTTGCAAAAAATTACTTTTAATGTATGAATATGTATATTTACAAATATACCAAAATAGCTTCATTATACATTTATGTGTGTGTGTGTGTATATATATATATACGGTAACCCGGTAACCCGCTAGGTTATCCACCCTTTTTGCCGTAAATCCCCTCCCCCCTCCGTGAACCTCCACACCCGCCCGGCTGCAAACATAATTATAACCCCTCCAAACCTGAACCCCCTAAGCCACAAACTCTTCAAGGACCTGGGTATTGCAAAAATGCCGGGAATCCCCTCTAATCCCTAAACCCCAAAGCTCTAAACCCTAAATTCCTAAAGTCTTAAAGGGGGGGCCAGACGTTGCGCGCCCCCAAGCCGGAGGCCCTCAACGGTTTAGAGCTTAAATTTTCGGGTTTAGGGTTTCGGCTTCTAGGGTTTAGGGTTATAGGGGTTTAGGGGTTCAGGGTTTACAATTTAGTGTTAGGGTTAAGAGATTTAGGGTTTGGAGGTGTTGCGGGTTCAGAAGATTTAGGAGGTTTATCCGGTATTTTGGTAAGCCCTAAGCCCTAAGCCCAAACTAGTTTAGGGTTTTTGTAGGGCCGGTATTAGGCGTCTGCAATGAATTGCGGTCCTTATTTCTGTGTCTGTTCTTGTCGTTCTTTCTTTATTGTTTAATCCTGTCGTTTTTTGGTTTGTTTATTTTATTTCCTTCTGTCTGTCTTTTTCTCTCTCTGTGCTGAATTGCTGTTCTCGTTGTTTCGCCGGTTCGTTATTTATTTATGTCTTTGTTTCTGTCGTTCTTTATTCCTTTCTTTCTGTCTTAGACTCGTGCTCCCCTCACATCCATCCCAAAAAAATGAAATACTTGTTTTGATTGATGCGAAGGTTTTTTCTTTGGCTGGAAAGATTTTTTTGATAGCCGAGAAAAATTGCTTGACCCCTATTCCAAATCGTGATGGTCGGCGGATTTAATCAATCTGTGGTTCATCGTAGACGCCGGCGTCTCCAACTGCTTCCTCATGAGCCCTGAGTTGGTCGTGCTTACGGTTCTGGGTGAACCTTAAGGGCATTGAGGGCCTTAATAACTAGAATCAAGCTGCTGGTTGTTGGGCGGGGGGTGCACCATAGTAGGCTTATAAATAAGGAACATAATCGTACATAACCGTCATAGCACACCTAGTCATTCAGGCTTCTGTCTAGGGCTGCGTTTATCGAGCCAGCTGGGGTTCGGGAGCATCAAGGCCCAGAATTCCCTCAGGCTCTGCCCTTCAAGTGCGGATACCCTTCGAAGTCCATGCCCCCAAAAACCCAAGTCCCTCATAGAAAAACCCAAAGAATCATGTATACCATAAACCCCTATAATAAGCCCCTTAAAGGCATCCCGCAACACCCCCATAAAACCCCATAAAAACCCTACAGACCCCCTTGCAGGAACCCAGAAACCCGGAAGAAGCGCAAGGTGCCCTCCACTTCGGCCCGGAAGCAAAGGCACCCCTTCGGAGTCCAGCGCCTTGGTCCAGGGTTCAGGATCAGGGTCTGTCTGGTTTAGGGTTTAGGGTTT